CCCCCTTGTAGCTGGTGGCATTGACTCCAACAGACATTGGGGAAGCTTCTGGCAGCTTCTCACAGAGACCACTCCTGTAGCCTCCTGCTACCAAAACCTTGCCATGCAAACCTGGTAGAGCTCAGCACATCCTTCCCTGCAGCACTAACTCTCCCATCCCTCCCAGGTTGCCTGACCGAGTGGGATGGAGTGAGCTGTTGGTCGGCCATACCTGTTGGCCGGTCCCAAGCCGTCACCTGCCCCGACATCCTCCACATCTTCAAGAAATCCAAAGGTGCAGTTCTCTGAATCATCCTGGGCTGCTCATTCCCTGGGTAGAGCTCAGCACATCCTTCCCTGCAGCACTAACTCTCCCATCCCTCCCAGGTTGCCTGACCGAGTGGGATGGAGTGAGCTGTTGGTCGGCCATACCTGTTGGCCGGTCCCAAGCCGTCACCTGCCCCGACATCCTCCACATCTTCAAGAAATCCAAAGGTGCAGTTCTCTGAATCATCCTGGGCTGCTCATTCCCTGGCACCAAGGGTTGAGCTGCACCCACCCCTGCCTGCCTCGGATACTTGTGCCACCCGAGCTCTTCTCCTCTGGTCCCACAGCTCCTGCCCCATCCAAAAGCTTGGCATATATTGCAACCCAAGCAGAGGATGAGCAAAAGCAGAGATGCAGCTTGTTGCCACTCCAGAAAAGTCCCCAAACCATTTTATCACCCAGTACCAAGCATCCCTGGTGGGTCCCACTTGGGGAAACTTATCCTCCAGCTGGGTGACACCAGGATAGTCCCCTTGGATGCTCAGTACCCTCTTTTCCCCATCCACACACCAGCTCCATGCTCCTGACCTGCTCGGTGCCACTTCAAGCCACGCAGATGAAAAACACAGTGTCAGCTCATGATTGACTTAAGGTTGGGTGCTCTCCTGGGGCAGGTGCCACTGCTCAGGGAGTCGCTGCCTCCATCCATCTTGGAGGTAGTGGGATGTGAAGGAGAACATCTGATTGTCCCCATGGAATCCAAGTGTTTCCTTGACTGGATGTAATTGAAAAGGAGATGGGGAGTTGGTAAATGGGCAGGAAGAGCTGAGGAGAAGCTCGATGAAGCCTTCACAGAGTGGAAAACCCTCTTTTTAGCCTCAATTCCTTCCCACCATGGTTGATTCACACTTGTTTTCACATCCTGCCCTAAGATACCCTGGCACCTCCAGGCAGAGGAGGTGCAGAGGATGATGTGGATGGGAGGGATGGGGCAGCCAGGCCACTCTGGTACCGTGCTGCTGTCACAGCCGGGGTGTTGGTGCTGGGATTTAGGATCCATCCTGGAGAACAGGGTGTCATCCCCAAACTGGACATTTTGGAGGTGCTGAGGCAGAGGTGATGCCTGTGGTTCTTGTGAGGTCCCTTCTTGTCCCTGCAGTGCTGATCCAGAGGAACTGCACTGAGTCAGGATGGAGCCTCCCCAGCCCTCCCTACCATGACGCCTGCGAGCTGGAGGCCATCGGCACCAACAATGACACCGAGGCCAAGGCAAGTGGGTTCCCCGGGGGCTGTGGGGCAACCTCCCCAGCATCACCCTACCCCACATTGACCCATACCGTTGGGCAATACAACATGAAGGTGTTCTTGGAGATCTCTCATTGGCCTACTGGGCTTCCTGAAGCACAAGCTCAGCCTGAGCGAGGGCTGGGGCATCACCCTGCTACCTCCCTGCCCATCACAGACCAGCACCTCCCAGCTCATGCTGCCTCACTGCACTGGTGTTTTTCTTTCCAGAAAGGTTATTTTGTCACCATGAAGGTGCTTTACACCTGCGGTTACTCCACATCCCTGGCAGCCCTGTTCTTGGCCATTGGCATCTTCTCCTGCTTCAGGTAGGGTTCAGCATGGGCTGCTCCATGGGTGCAGCTGGAGGAAAGCAGGGTAAGGCACGAGCAGGGTAAATCCCCTCCCAGAGGAGCCAGGCTCCATCCCTGCAGCATTGTCCTTCCCTTTAAGCGCTCAGGTTGCCCTGTCAAGCTTTGTTCTTTCGCATCTCGCTGTGCTGCAGAAGGATGCTCTCTTGGCCAGGGCTCTGAGCAACCTGATCTAGTTGAAGATGTCCCTGCTCACTGCAAGGGGGTTGGAGTAGATGACCTTTGAGGGTCCCTTCCAACCCAAACCAGTCTATAATTCTATGATGATTCTCTGGAGGTGGCTGAAGGATGTTCCTCAGCACACCTTATCCCTGGGCAGCAGCCTCGAGCACAGCAGAACTCTGTCCCTCATGATTTCAGAGCAGGAAAACCTCCTCCAGAGTTTCATGCTTGACCATCACCAACATATGGACCCCTGGGTGGGGGAAGTAGCTCCCAAAAGAGAAGCTTCTCTGCCCATCTGCTGTCTCTGCTCCTCCCTGGGCACAGCACATCTCTTCCTCCCGTAGGAAGCTGCATTGCACCAGGAATTCCATCCACATCCACTTCTTCACCTCCTTCATACTGCGTGGGGCTGCCGTGTTCATCAAGGACACCGTCCTCTTCTCAGATGAGTCCATCGACCACTGCACGATGTCAACGGTAAGGGGCTAAGCAGGAGTGGGCACCATGTGCTGATCTGGAGGGATCTGGGTGCACTCAGAGTGGATTTAGCATTGCAAAGAGGAGGGAGAGAGAGGCTGGGGGGGAAAGGCTGGCTTGGGTGGACTTCAGGAGGTTCACAACAGCATCTCTGCATGGGTCCTGTCTGCAGAGAACATCTTCTGCCCTCAAAGCTCTCCCTGGTCTCAGAGAGTCTCCCAGGAGGGTTAAAGCTCTGCACAACCCCCCAAGCAGCTCCACATACAAGTGAACGGACCTTGTGCTGCTGGATCTGCAAATTTGGGGTTGTCCATAGGAACAGAAACCCCTGCGTGCAGCCCACAAGGCTGAGGTCACCAGCAGACACAGGTTTCTGAAGGTCCTACAAGAACAGCCTGTGGTCATCTGCCCACGCTGTGCTGGCAGAGCAGAAAATGCTGCAGGGGACGTGTGGGACTGGTGCAGCATCCTGGGAGCTGCACTGAAAGGCCACCACGGTCTCCTTGAATGGATGGATGGGGAGGTGGACCTTTCCCTGTGTCCCCAGGACAGGATCTTACACCAGCCAGCGCTGCTGAGCCTTTCTTCCACTCCTCATCCTCAGGTGAACTGCAAAGCAGCCATCACCTTCTTCCAGTACTCAGTCCTGGCCAACTTCTACTGGCTGCTGGTGGAGGGCATGTACCTGCAGACCCTGCTGCTGCTCACCTTCACCTCCGACAAGAGGTACATCTGGTGGTACATCCTCATCGGCTGGGGTGAGTGTCGGACCCC